TGGATGTGTCTCTTTGTTTTCTGATTGAACTTTTGACTTCTTATTTTTGCAATTGTGGTTTAACTATCACAATGCACTAGTATCAGAGGTAAAGGCTTACTTACAATGGGCAGTTGCATCAACAACCCATACAACCATTCCGACTCCATTCCAGTCGTGTCCAATGCACATAACTCAGCCTCAAAAGTAGACCGGGTTACCAAAGTCTGTTTGGTAGACTTCCAGGAGACAACGCCTCCACCCAAGGTAAACATACCCTATACATCCGTTAGTTCCGAAATTTTTTTAGTTATTCAGCTAGAATCACTATATCCCTCAAGTACCCTAGGGAACTTGCTATAGTGAATAGCCAGTGATATTGTGCCTTTACGATACCGAAGTACCCTATCCAAGGCTTCCCAATGAGATCTATTAGCACAACTTGTATATCTAGCTAACTTTGACACAGAAAACGAAATATCTGGTCTCGTACCATTAGCTAAATATTGCAAGCTTCCAATAATTTGAGAATATCCCAATTGAGCCACAGAAACACTACTTTCATTTTTTAAAAGAGCCATAGACGGATCATATGGAGTTTTAGCAATTCTACAATCTTTATAACCATATTTCTCAATTATTTTCTCAACATAATGAGATTGAGATATGACTATACCTTTAGTTGAACGAATCAACTTAAGGCCAAGAATTACATTTGCCTCTCCCATATCCTTCATTTCAAATTTACTCTTTAGAAATGATCTAGTCTCTTCAATTATTCCATAAGCAGATCCTATTAACAGAATATCATCTACGTATAGACATAATAAGATTATACATTTATCACCTTTAACCTTAAAGTATATACACTTATTATTATCATTTATTACAAAGCCGAATGATAAAATAGTTTTATCAAACTTTTCATGCCATTGTTTAGGTGCTTGTTTCAAACCATAAAGAGATTTAACAAGCTTGCAGACTTTATGCTCGTTACCAGGAGCTATAAATCCCTCAGGCTGATCCATGTATATTTCTTCATCAAGATCTCCATGTAAAAAAGTAGTTTTTACATCCATCTGATGAATACGAAGATTATACACAGAAGCCAAGGCTATGAGCACACGAATGGTAGTTAAACGAGCAACAGGTGAATATGTATCAAAATAATCTATTCCCTCTTTCTGTTTAAATCCTTTGGCAACCAATTTGGCCTTAAACTTATCAATGGTTCCATCAGAATTAAGTTTCTTTTTGAAAATCCATTTACAACCAATTGTATTACACCCCGGAGGTAGTTCAACTAACTCCCATGTCTCATTAGAGACAATAGAGTCAATCTCACTTTTGATAGCTACTTTTCAATGCTTAGCTTCTGATGAAGTCATAGCATCTTTGAAAGTTATTGGCTCGTCCTCGATATTGTAAGTGATAAAATCACTTCCAAAATCCTTAACGAACCTAGCTCGTTTACTCTGTCTGGGTTCATCCAATTCTGTTTGTAAAGAATCCGATTTACTTGGGTTAACCCCCACATTTGTCATATTTTCCACATGTTCAGGAATTGATGATGATGCAAGGGCCGCATTCAAGACATCGTTTTGGGGTATTCCCGTTTTCATAGAAAAAACATCCTCAAAGAATGTAGCATCACGGAGTTCAACAATTGTGTTTACATCTATTCCAACAATTTCTGATTTAACAACCAAAAATCTAAGAGCATAGCTAGTTTTCACATAGCCCAAAAAGACCGCATCAATAGTTTTAGGTCCTAGCTTTTTCCTTTTGTGCTCAGGTACGAGAACTTTTGCAAAAACAGCCCCACACAGAAAGTACTTTAAGCTAGGTTTTCTATCTTTCCATGATTCAAATGGAGTTACTTCATTGTGTTTCAGAGGGACTCTATTCAGAATATGGCAAGCTGTATTCAAAGCCTCTCCCCACATGTATTTAGGCAATCCAGAATTCAACAAAAGATTGTTGATCATATCTTTAAATGTTCTATTTTTCCGTTCTGCAACCCCATTAGACTGAGGAGAATATGGAGGAGTTTCTTCATGAATTATGCCAAAATTTTGACAATAAAGGGTTAGATTCATATTCTCCACCTCTGTCTGATCTTAACCTTTTAAGTTTCTTACCAGTTTGTGTTTCAGCTTCATTTTTAAAGATAATAAATTTCTCCAGTGCTTCATCCTTATATTTAATCAGATAAACATAACAATACTTACTATAATCATCTATAAAAGTGATAAAGTATCTTTTAAGCTCTTTAGTCACAATACCATTGAACTCACAAATATCAGTGTGTACTAAATCAAGTAATTCAGAATGCCTTTCTATCGAGTGATAAGGCTTTCTTACTTGCTTTGCTTCAACACATACTTGACATTTGTGATTATGTTCAACAGCGTGTTTTGGTACTAAATTAAGATTCATCATTCTCTTAATAGAACCATAATTTAAATGACCCAAACGCTTATGCCATACAGAAGAACTTTCTGTAACATTCATAATAATAGAATCTGCAAAATCAAATTTATTACCAGAACCAGCATATTCAACATGAATTTTAAATAGACCATCAGACAAATAGCCCTTGCCAATAAATAAATTATAATGTTGAATTACAACTTTATTCAATTTAAACGAAAGCTCATAACCTTCTTGGACTAACATAGAACCACTAATAATAGTTCTCCGTATTGTTGGGACGTGGTGCACCCTGTGTAGAGATAAAATGCGCCCTGAAGGAAACTTCAAGTCCACGCATCCTACCCCAAACACCTTGGCCGCACTTGAGTTTCCCATCGCTACGGATTTTCCATTAATTGGCTGATAAAGACACAACAGGCAATTTATCAGCACAAATGTGCACATTTGTTCTAGTATCTATTAATCAATCAAACGGTTCATAGACATTCAAAAGCTCAGGTTGTAAAGAAACAAACCCGTCAATAGTTGTCTCTGGAGCCCTATTTTGCTAGGTTCCCCAACAACCATACTCGCAACAGGCTGTTCAGCAAGTCCAGGTTTGACCTTAGCTTTATTCGTCGGACAATCTTTAATCCAATGTTCAACCTGTCCACAGTTCCAACATGGTTTGTTTGCTTTCGGTTTCTTATTTTTAGCCTTAGCCTTGTCTTTATTGGCTATTTTGACATTTTCATGGTTCACTTTTCTTTTTCCCATTATCATATTAGCCTTAGATTCAAATGGCATATTATGAACTTCTTTTCGATGTTCTTCTTCTATGTTGATTGATATCATTAAATCATCCAAGGTCAATTTCCCTTGTTGATGCTTCAAAGACATTCCAAAACTTTCCCAAGACTTTGGAAATTTATCAATAATTGACATAACCAAAAACTTTTCAGGGAGTTTCATATCAGCATCAGCGAGGGAATGTTCCAAGTTGATCAATTCATGTGTCTGCTCAGGTACAGACTTTCCTTCAGCCATCTGATATTTTAGGAACTTAGAAACAGAATACTTTTCGAGACCTTGCTCTTCAGTATTATATTTCTTGTCCAACTCATCGCACAATGACTTTGCAGTGTACGAATCACAACAATAAACATCAAAGAGCGTATTTGACAAAGCTGTCAAAATAGCCCATCGACCTATTTTGATCTCTTTCGTTCCACTGAGCAATTTCAGTTGTTTTGGGATCATTATCAGTTGGTTCAGGCCTAGCCACTTGAATTATCGTCAAAAGTCCTTTCATCGTAAGCCAAATTTTCATTCGTTGTTGCCAACGTTTGAAAAATTGCCCCGAAAATTTTTCCGGAAGCCGAATAAATCAACTTTTGAATTCAACATAACATTAATCGATATGGTGCTAGAACCACTTGCCATAATGATAAATTGAGAAGAAAAAATAGTAAAATAAATACGTATAACACTTTTGAAAAACTCATTTTAATCACAAAATCTGTTTCTTCAAGATTGTTGTAAAAAAAAATTAATTATAACAGGCGGATCAAGAACGAGTTTCAACACATATACATATTAAGATTTTGTAAATAGAAACCACAAACATCAACCACGGGAACGTGCGATGAATCCAGATTTCTATTAGTAAATAAATAATTTATTATAAAAATAAAACTTAACTGACAGTTCTATATTGTCATAGAACACATATTGCCGAATCACAGAAAATCTGTTTGCCTTGAAGAAACAGACGCCCCGATACTGTGCAACGAGTACTACGCCTTTTCTCCCAGGATAAGACGGCTCAAAGTGTGAAGACTGCACTATCTAACACACTCACCTCGATCAAAATCTCAATGGCTAAGAACCCTTAATTTTTCTTAGACTTGTAGAGGATGAAGAGACTATGTATATATAAAGTGGTACTTTTCTTTTCTTTTTCTTGGTGTGTTCTCCCATAGGCATGCATGCACATTATTTATAGTGTTTCTAATGCATGCTTGCATTCAATGAAGAGAAGTTCATTCAATAGAGGAGAAGCTTTAATGCTTCATTAAGTCAAAACTAATGAAACTATTAATGAAACTTTGAGTTTCATTCTCACATCTCAAAATCGAACACGGTTTAGTTTTCCTCACATTGAATTTGGACATTTTCACATGTAACATTAAACACACTATTTATCTAAGGATTCCCACATAACAATTCTCTTTTCACATGTAATATTTATCACAACATTCTTTTCATCTTAAAATAATATATATATATATATATATATATATATATATATATATATATTATCTTAAAGCACTTGAAAGTTAACAAAGAAATCATAAGAGGTTACACTTACAGAGCAACAATAAATATACAGCAGACAAGCACACTTTTATAGCAACAAATACAAGAATCCCATTGCTTAATTTCCTAATTTTAAATTTTAATCCAAATGTATTGGGAAACTATAAATTTCAATGGTAAAAATGTATTAGCTATTCCTCATATCTATATTCAGAGACAGTATGCAATAAACATCTCTGGACAATATCAAACGACACTTTGCTTGATAACCATAATATTAATTCTTCCTACTTTTGAACTTTCTCCTTTGCATCAACTTTTCCATTGGCATTTTCAACTTTCTCACCAGCAGATACTTTTTGTGCAGCATGACTTGCACTCATAAGGGAGTCAAATTTTTCCAATTTCTCAAGCACAATTTCAATCTGAATAGGCAAAATGATGGTAAGAATAATTAAGGTGGAGAAAAATAATCATGTATTAATTAATGAGAATGTCTTGGCAGTTAAAAGATTCCATGATAAATGAATTTTCAAACATCAATTTTAAAACCAAAGTTACACAATTAAATCCGTATCTTGTAGAATGAAAATTTTGAAATGATGGATAAAATATATTGCAATTTCACTAGGTTGAAGTTATGAGACCAAATTAAATTTGGAAAAGAAGCTTGATTATAAGAATATGTGAAATATTGCTACCTTTCCATAATAGAAAAAAAAAAAGTGTCAAAAATATGTATGTGACACTGAGACTTACCCTAGCTTTATTCACTACTCGTCCCTTGTCTTGATCTTTCATTCCAACTGTAGATGTCAAGATTCCTGTGATAATTAATTTACAAGCATGCATTATTAATTCCGCAATGTTTTTATTTATTTTTTTTTACTATAATAAATATAGGAATATATAAAACTGAAAGTAAACATTAATCACAATCAATCAACTATCTTTTATTCCACTATGTATTTTAAAGGAATTGATGTACTTACGCTTCTCTTTCGCAAATCCATTGTTCTTTAAGATCTCAGCAATTGTGACAACTGTTGTGATGGCTGAAAATTAATTGCAAGAAAAAAGACAAACTATTTTAAGAAAGATCCTTGTGGAGCAAACAAACATTAAACATTTTAAGTGTGTCCTATTAGAAATAAAGCTCATAAAAAAACACACAATTATTACCCATGCCCAAAGCAGAAAGCTCTATCTCATTGTTCTGTTGCAAGTACCTCTGCATATTAAAAAGTTATTGCAATTTATCAAATAAATTAATAATCTCAAGAAGGATATATGTAACAGTGTAAACACATCAGAATGTAGAGGATCGAGTAGTTAACCAAGAAAAAAATAGAGAAGACTATATCAAAACTTCTACCAAAACAAAACCTTCAATAATGAATGTGAATTAAATTCAACAAAATGTTTATTTCTCATCTATATACTTGTAGACCTATTAAAATTTATCTCTTAATTTAGGTAAGTTATATAATCAACAAATCTAGTAATACGGCACAAAAAAAGAATTCACAAACTCTATGCTCAAGTGATCTCTATGTAAAATCAATGTTCCTCTTCTTACCCATTCATTCATGAGATTGTATAAGTAAAATGAGAATCTCTTAAAAACTTTTCTTATACGCTCTCAACTCAAGAAAAA